CGCCCAGTCGATAAAAAGTGTTAAAGCGTTTGGCATTGATGAATCGCTTAAAGATACACTTGTTTTCATTAAGTATTGTATAATGATTCAATGTATGTTTGGAGGCTAAAACGAATTGCGTAGGCCTACCGATGTATCAACTCAACGTTTTTTATTCTGTGGGACGAAGCTGGCACCAATTTGCTTGCTCCAGTAAAGTGACAAGCTTGGTTAGCCGAGGGCGCAATATCTAACTTATGACTGCTTGTGTATTGAAGAGCCCGCTACTGATGCTCTTCAGGTACTCTGATATTGCATTGGAATTGATACAAAAACATAAAATTTAGTACTTCATAATATCATATCGTTTCGTACATTATGGTGCGGTTAAATAAAATTTGGATATTTTCTAAATACAACTAGAAAGGAACTTTATTATATATATATATATACATACATACATACAGCATACAGAGAGAAGCACAAAGGATAAAACACAACGGATATATATATATATATATATGTTTTCGGCGTCGATTAATCTCTGAGGGATGCTTCGCGCATTTGACTTCATCAAGCATCGTTGGAGATTATTGAACGCGTATTTTGCCTTTACAGTGAATCGCGGTTTCTTACCGATGTATCGAGCCAGTGCTGCTATATTCCTAGACAAGTCTGGTACTAATTTGCCGATCCCGGAGGGACGGAGGGCTTGGTGGGCCTGTGGCCCGGCGATCGGTCCCATGTGTATTGCAGTGTCCCTCTGACCATTGCGCTGCCCGCGCCCCTCATAAATATAAATATATATAAATAGGTGCGAATAATGTCCGTAAGAAAATCTTTCTCACATTTTTTTCTCTTAAGCAAGAGCTGATATTTACACTAGTCGCGGTCGCGTTCGATCGAAGAACAGGAGAGGTATCACACTTAGACACTGACAGGAGAGCTCAGGAATCACTATATCTATTTATCTACAACTTATCTACAACTATCCGCCAAGTAGTTTTCGGTGAAGCAGATAAAGAAATCCTAGCTAGAGTTTCATATTGTTTTGCTGACTAATAATAAATATCCAATGGAGCGCGGGTAGTTCAGTTACAGTGATGTCGCTTACTATTCTCTGAGGGCATGGCCCGACTTCACACGAAATCCCCCAAGCCCACCATCTCTCCGGAACTCGGGAATTCGTATCAAGCCTTTTTTACAAAACGTAAGCTCATTCCAGAAATGCTTATGGCGACGATCTGGGGACACTCTACCACGACGATCAGAGGATATCAAGGAGAATCGACTCGCCAGAATTCAAAGGCCTCTTATTAGGAAGGGCAAAAATCCTCAAACACCAACTTAACCAACACTCAAATTCGAAGAAGTTCGTGGTTCACGGGCTTACAAAAAGACGAAATGAATGAAGGAATTGCTGGAATATACATAATATGTAATATTAGGTTATGTAAAAAAGGTGTAGTAAAAAGTCCCTATGAATCATCGAGCGTATAGCGCAGCGGTTAGAGTTGCTATGCTATGCGGTGTCTGCACATTCTTCGTAAGCACAAACGAGTAAGCATTGAACTAAGCAAGTCTCTTATTCTAAAAGTTTTCGAAACCGCTACCTTTTTGATGAAAGATCTAGTTCTGGTGAATTTGTTTTTCATTTCATCCCAAGTGCCGTGTCAATCAACAAACAGCTGTAGGTGAGTGAGTGATATCTCTGAGATCGCGTGCTTGTTCATTTCCGTCCACTTTACGAGTTTTTCAGCTGCTCAAACATCCACTAGCTTAAATCGTTTAGATGACTTTCTGAAGTATGCAAAATATTTGAGCTTAATTTAGCTAAAAAATTATTGCATCATGTAAGAATAGTTAGTTGAACCATGCATATAAGAGCCACACAGTTTTGTTGGTTGTCAGGTTGAACAGGAAAAATGTTGTTGCAATCTTGGATTACTTAGAAATGTGGATAGAGCCTCTTTATCAAAAATTATGTGGGACCAATGTCATTTTTTGTTTGAGCTGTAAATATTATGATGTCCGAGAAAGAGCTCTACCTTGAAGTCTCATGACAGCGACGCAAGGGGGCGTTCTCAGAATCACGAGAGCTAGTCACCAGCCTCAGCCGTCTGGCTCGGAGAGAGGTATGACACCTTGGCACTCTGTCGCTCCTAGTACAGTGGCTATTCTTGGTATAGATTTATTCTTAGCCGTGTTTTTATTTAAAACTTCTGTTGTTCGTTCATTCTATTTTGCGAGTTTTTTATCAATTACTATTGATGCCATCTACTGGCGAAGTTACCAATCTTTATCATGTGCTGATTTCCTTACTGCATTCGAACATTCCCATGCTCTGCGCCGTCAAAACCATTGAACCAACCATCCCAGATCGGCAAATAATTACCAGAGTAAAACACCGACTCAATAGATCAATAGGACACCACAAGTTAATGGTTACTGCAGGGGTAAGTTGTGCGTTGTAGTACACCTACGTTTATTTATGAAGTCCAGTGCATATAGCACCCACATTCTTCAGGAGTGATCAGTTCGAACGGTTAACGCTTTTCCATCTATTTGTCTATGTTTTCTAATTTTACAATTACTGGTCAATGCCATGGTTAATCGAAAATCGGTCGTGTGATTCACTCGTTTTTTATGTGTTCACTTGGATATATAGTTGGCTTTTCTTTAGGATTGATGCGTGCCATTAATTATTTTTCAATTCTGTTGCAGTCGTTCTTTAGGGGAAAATGGATTTCTTTGTACACGATGTCTACGTGTATCATTTCGTGGCTCCATAAATCGTCCACGACAGCAAGCACAGCTGTTTAATGACGTCTACTGTTGGCCTGGTCTTCCATCTTATAGCAGACAATGCTCAACATGGGGAATTATTACATTGTTTAACGTTTTGTTTTCTGCCTTCTATAATTTTCATGGCAGGTTACTAAGCGAAATACAACCACAACGTTGCTGAGATATTTGCAAAACTCTAGACCGCAGGTGTCTATGGTGGGGAACGAACGCGCTATTATCCTTTCCGGGGAGTAACGCGTTCACCACCACACCATGCGGGTCCTTTGTTTCGCACGTCTCTCAGCTATTTCTATCGATCTTTTTGCCACAGCAAAAAGCTTAAGCAAAAAGCAAAAAGCAAAAAGCTTTTTTGCCGCTTAGTAACCTGCCATGAAAATTATAGAAGGCAGAAAACAAAACGTTAAACATTGTGATTTCAACTACAGTCATAGCTTAACTGGGTTCTATGCCGATTTGCGCTCCCCAGATCAACCCCGCTGACGGGTGATTGCTGTGGCAAAAAGATCGATAGAAATAGCTGAGAGACGTGCGAAACAAAGGACCCGCATGGTGTGGTGGTGAACGCGTTACTCCCCGGAAAGGATAATAGCGCGTTCGTTCCCCACCATAGACACCTGCGGTCTAGAGTTTTGCAAATATCTCAGCAACGTTGTAATTATTACATTGTCGGCTTCTACTGAAACTCAAAGAGATACATGAAATGCGTTTCATGTGGATGATAGATGAAGTGTTTTCAATATGTATTCTTTCTTGATAAGCTTGCACGAGGTTGATAAATATATTTATTTTCGTCTAACGTTTCGACGTCTTCGTCTTCCTCAGAGCCGGTGATCCGAGTCGATGGTCCATGCTTGTTGTTCGTCTCGACGTTGCGTCTTCGCCTTCGTGTCGAGCCAGATCTTCCTCAGCGAGCCATCTTCTCGAATGAGGCATCCTCACTCAGTGATGCCCTTTTATACACGATGCTGATGGTGGGTATATAATGACAATGTCCGGTGGTAACAACCTCGTGCAAGCTTATCAAGAAAGAATACATATTGATTAGTCACACCGAGGTTTAGGGAAGGTCGGTTTCGAAATATTACTACGCTTTGTGCGAGCTGATAACGACACCGACTTCTGCACGATGTGCGCAATGATGTATGTCCAGAAGAAATACAAGTTGTTACCACCGGACATTGTCATTATATACCCACCATCAGCATCGTGTATAAAAGGGCGTCACTGAGTGAGGATGCCTCATTCGAGAAGATGGCTCACTGAGGAAGATCTGGCTCGACACGAAGGCGAAGACGCAACGTCGAGGAGAACAACAAGTATGGACCATCGACTCGGATCACCGGCTCTGATGAAGACGAAGACGTCGAAACGTTGGCCGAAAATAAATATATTTATCAACCTCGTGCAAGCTTATCAAGAAAGAATACATATTGATTAGTCACACCGAGGTTTAGGGAAGGTCGGTTTCGGAAGTGTTTTCAGTTATTCAAACACAAGTTTAGTTGAGATAGCTGTGAATAAAAGATGTTAGACATTTCCATAACTTCAACGCTCAAAAATGATAGTGGACTCCATGATGAATAGATTTGCAGCTATTTCTTATGATTATTATCCCCTCCCCCAAATTCGTATCTCCGCAGAGACGATTGTGTGATACATAGCCGGTCTGTGGGGCGACTTGTGGTGATGTACCAATTTGTAAAATCAACGCTCTTTATCCTCTTAAACAATTCAAGTAACAGATTAGCGACCATGGAGCAATGAATAGCTTGATGAGCCCAGGACGCGGAATCAAACAGTAGCAAAGCGCGCGAATCATGGACCTCTAAGCACTGCTCTACACGGGCACTTAGCACTATCCTTCCGTTAATATTATTCTACCACTTTTATCTTTGGTTTTTTTTACAAATATTCTTTCACTTCTATTTGATAATTTTCTGGACATGTATACTTCGAATTTTTTTGCATACTCAGTGCTAGAAGCTAAAAAGTTTTTTTTTATTGCCTGAAGAAGTAAGTGTTGTCTTCTGAACAGAACGATAACTTCAGAGATTAACACATTTCCCAAAATCGTCTAAGAATCGCAATCATCTTTTTTGGCCCTTCATTTTGACCATACTAAATCTAGTTTTGATTATATAAACCGTAGCGATCAATCAATAGTTATGGTTTGTACTGTGTACAACTTGTCTTCATGTTTCAGGTTCAGAGCGATGGTAAACGTCGATTTATTGAAGAAACATGCTGGCCAGTATAAAATGACACGTGACACGGCTGGCGAATATCATAAACAGTAAACTTTTCACTTTGTGAAGCATTTATTATTTTTATTATTATCACTATTATTATTATTATTATTATTGTTATTGCTATAGGCAGTGGCTGCATTAAATAATATCATCACTATATTCATCATAATGTCGAGGTTAAAAACTCACCGTTATATAATACTAACACTTTTCTATCCATTATCGTATACTTGGGTACGAGTGGCACGTGAATGGTGGAGGGAATTGCGCAGTGGTCAGTGATGTAGTCCTTGAGGAAGCGAGGTGCTGGCTCGATCGTCTACCAACGCCCTTTCCCAATCTAGTGGGAAAGCCTTAGATCGTCTCTCTTCAAAAATGTAACGAGAACCATCTCGAACAACGTACGATATTTATAAAAAGAAGACCATATCCTCAATCAGCAGCCGGAACAATAGTGGACGATGAACGTGAGGAAAACGAATCGAGGACAGAAACCTTCGGAATGCTCACAACAGGTGGGACGGCGGTTCATATAAAATAATGCAGAAAAAGAAGTGGATAGCTCAGGGGAAGTTATGCCATCCTTCACAACCACGGCTCTGGTTCGAGCGTTACTAGGCTCTCGAAGCCTGCCATCACACGGTGGTCGAGATACTGGAACCAGATTTCTTTGGGATCAGTGCACTTCATGCAACCCATTTAGGAGCGCTTTAGCAAGGCTAACGCAAAAATCGAGGGAGAATCAACTCGACTAACACTCAATGGCTCAAAGAAGATGAAAATCCTCAAGCAGCAGCTGATTACACAGGGAAAACGAGAAAAGAAATGGAATGCAAAAAGTTCTATGTTCAGGATAATGTTATATACTTTTCATATACTATTGACCACCTATCAAACTTTTTATTATTAAATAATTTCTACCAGATTGAGATTTAGGCTTTTCACCCTTCATCCCGAACTTGCAAAATACTACGACGCCGAAGACATCGATCCAGATAGCGTCCTAAAGGTTTGCAATGTTGATGATATGCGCTGTTTGGCCTATTCAAGCGCTATTCAAGTAAACGAATATTTAGAGATTTCAAGTTTAAAGTGCAAACATCACAAAATTACCTCAAAGATCAATAGAAAGCGGTTAGAAGAATGTTTACCACAGTTGTGTTACGCAAAAGAAAAAACGTTTGCTTTGTTATTGCTTTTGTTTCGTTTTTGCTTACATCCCGTTCGTGTGACAATAAAGCATATCGACTTTTCATTTAACATAAAAATAAACGAGGTATACGGTATTGCAGAAATTCTGTACTGAGACCTGCCTGTCTTGTTTTCTGCCCCGTTTCAGCAGAATTTTCAAAAAAAAGGACTTCTAGTAATAAATTGAAAAACTTCTCTTCCAATAATATAATAAATAAGCTTTAATCTAGTTACTCCATGTATTCAGTTGACTGAGGATCAACCGAAAAAGCTCTGTGCTTTGAAAACTCCAGAACAAATTTGTCTGTGAACTTTAGTTAAACTGTGCCAAAATTTTTACACAAATGTATAAGTTCGCTAATTTGTAATGGGACACGAGTGGACGCAAAGTAAACGTAGCCGACGAGACAACATCTTAAATATGGTAATTTTGTACTTAAATATTCTACGGTTTTCAGGCTCAGAAATTCGTGATGCTCGGTCAGCAAGAGCTGCAGTGTTTCTTCCGGTTTGTTGAATAAATTTCTCTATTGCATATGCACATCTTATCCCATAAAATCACTCACGAACCAATATTCTGCTTAACAGACTCCCCACAGTCGTAAACGATGAGCGTAGTTGGCGCAGTGCGTTAAGCGATTTCAAGGAGACATTCAGCGAAAACAACAATATGTCGATGAAGGAATTCAACGTAAGCGTCATAAAAGACGTTGATTGTTGCTGATTGGTTGGTTTTATAGAAAGTGTACGATGCGTTTTTTGCCGCCATGCAAAAACATGCCGGTGGAGTGACAGCTGAGCAAAAGAAGGAATGGATGGTGTTGTTCAACAAGGCCTATGCAGACATGAAGAAGTGGGGTTGGTACTGATTGGCAACCAACTGATATCGGTGCCATTTTCGATGGAATTTATTAACTCACTTTTGTTTATTACCTATAAGGAGACAAGGTTATAGAAATGTTGAAGCTCAGCATTACAAAGGAGCATGTACGATGTCTATGAGAAATTTAATAAACGTGCTCACAAAATTTTACTGCAGTTAAGATATTCTTCAAAGATCTCTATATTTCATTACCCAATACATGTTGCTTTATGAATTTTATGACATCTGGTCTTTACTTTTTTTGAGAATAAAGTAGAAGTTTTTTTTCCTCAAAGAATTTGGGGTCATATCTAACACAGTGGCTAGATGTGTCTTGCAATATGTTAGGACGGTAGTTCTATAGGGGCTGGGTGAACTCCCATGCTCGTGAGGTCTCCAACGTATTTACAGACTTGCCTATAGGGATAAAATTGACACGGCACCTCACTGGAACTACGTCCGTGTTCAGTGGATCGTTCAGTTAGTCGTAAATGGGCAAAGAATGCCTTCAAGGAAAGAATCTACAAAAATATGCAATAGATGATCAATGAGTGAACAAATGAACAACGTTCTGTAACTATGCGTTTGTAAATATGTATGTACATGTTCTTGTGTCTCTGTGTGTTGTGTATGTGTGCCCAGATGTGTTACATAAGCATTCCTCCACAAATGGCTATTTTCCGTTGCTTTGAAATTTTTTGAAAACATAGCCGAGAAACAGCTTAGCAAAGATAACTGCTGGATCTGCTCGATAGGGCCGGGAGGCATAGAAACTAGAGATGCCTGCGGCTGGTGCCCACTCATGGCCGAGCAAACGAGCTCTCTTTATTTCGCTTCAGGATATCGATAACAAGCCTGCTTGAAATGAGCTCTTTCTAAACCGCAAAAACCGGCTACTGCCTATGATGAGGATTTGGAAACGACCGTATAATGAAGAACACAAAATTTTTAAATAGCACCTGACCACAAGTGAAAATCAGAAGGATTATCGTGGATTATGGATACAAGGCAAAGAAATGAAAGAGGTGTAGAGATTCGTATAATATGGCATGGAGAAGGTAGGAATTCCGCTCCCTTTTCCAAATCCAATATAAGGGATCGGTCGACAATCATTAGCTCCACATGGCGTCATAAAACTGAATTTATTATGAATATATTGAATTACACCAACGACATATTTGAACGAACAAGAACCGATATAACGAATCGATAAGATTTCTCATGATGGAATGGCTTGCCACATTTTCAACGACAGGAAACAAACGGATGAATACAACGGTTTAAGAAAATAAAAAAGAATGATGTTCGGTGAAAACGTAGTTCTTTTCACATCTTGGAAAGTCGATCGCATGGGTGAATAGGAATTTGCTAAAAAATTTTCCCTCAACAAAAAAAGGAGTGGGTGTCATTGTATGTTTAGAGACTACCCATATTGTATGGTAGAAGACGAATACAAAAAAATAGACTGAATAGAACAAATCACTGCACAATCGGAAAACGATCAATTTGCATAAAATATGCAGCATTGACGGGGAAGTGACTAGAATGACATAGAATAAACCACATTTGTGGCTGATAATAGACTTTTCTGTGCTCTTTTTAAGTGACGAGATCTTTTGACTCAACAGAATAAGTTGTGGTGTGTGTGAGAAATAAAATGAGGATTTATGAAAAATACATTGAGAATCAATGATACACAACCAATAATGAAAGGCAGCATTTGTATACAATGGAAGAGGATGGAAAAAGGGAAAATGAGTATACAAAATAAGTAGATTCTTCCTTTTTTATACAAAAGCGCAAACTGTCAATAAATCATAGATCATGAAGCAAACTATAAATCAAGTACGAAAGTAAAATGGGACTGACAATGAGCTAATAGACTATCGCAACCAGTCACTGGGAGCTTAAGAGTATGGTCTTTATGTTTTTACTAAACATGAGGCTACATAGCACGTATTCAGGTGGAGAGGACCAGAGGACGAAAGGTCAACCACCATGTGCCAAAACTCTAAGAGGGAGGTGGGTTTAGGCGGAAAAGGTTTTTTGTGTTCACTGGAGAAATTGTTGCGTGACAGAATTCATGGAAGCAATTTTAGACGTGTGGTCGCGTCTGATGATGAATACTGGGAAAAAATTTGAAATGGACAATATTATTGAAGCATTGAAACATGTAAGCATAAGTAAGTATGGTAATAAGAATAAGCATAGCTATGTAATAGGTCGAGAAAGGTCGATATATCGATCAGAAAAATGGCTGGCTTTAGTCGACGTGCACACACTTTACCGCAGTCGACCCATCCGAATTGCAGTGGTTGGTTGTGGATTTAGCGCACGAGAGTCCTCTTGCAGATCCGAATCTATCGTTCGCGTGCGAGATCGTGAACGATTGAGATGCGAAAGAATATATTTCCTGCATTGTCATAGTGTTATTTAAGAGTCACTTAATGTTAAAGGACAACGGTTACACCATTAAATTACGATGTAAATGGTTCTCGTTATGCTCGTTGAGGAAACACGAGGTGTTACTTTATTCTTTATTCCATTAAAGCTGACGTTCCGGCAGTATCGCCTTCTTCAGAGCCTGGAGGGTTACATTGATAGCCAGTTTACTATGTCAAACGCTTAAATAACAAATGCAGAAAGATCGAAATCTAAATCGCAATCACACGATCAACAGCTTCTCGAAAAACTTATCGTTTATTAAGTGCCTTCCACTAAGAACAACAGCGGTTTAGAATTGCATATGGTTCATGAGTGCACCACCCCACATCAAACTCTAACCGAAGATACGGAGCGAGATGAAGTGTGATCTCCGGGCATTCCTCCCTGCTATTCATTCTACGGTTTTTCGAGTTTATTAAGTTTTTGCACCCTGTGTGAGGAATAGGACTTTAATATTAAAATCGTCTCTGGTATCTTTTTGCATCATATGCGTCCCTAGTGGGATATTCAGTCTTGCTTTTCGTTCCCTACGTTCTTTCATGCAGATACATAAAGGTTTCCTCGTTTCTCAAATACATCCATCTTTGGAAGCATTATAAGAGATCAGATATATCGTACCTGAACTATTGCAATCACCGTCCCAGCCGTAAGGGCAAATTACGCAACTTTTGTTTCGCATAGACAATCATAAAGACGATTCCGAACTACCTGACGTGTATCTGGTGGTACTTCAACTATCACTACCGATCGCTCTAGACCGGCACTTCTAAGTATCGTTTTATAGCTAAACTTACTTCATCGCTAATGAAGGGCAACATAAACGGGTTTTGTTTTGGCCACGTTTTCCGTTTTGGGGCGTCGCTCTCCTTCTAGACTTATCTTGTGGGGTTACTATTTCGTAGCCATTGGAGTTGGCTACTTGCCAAGCCAAGTTGCGCGATTGTTCTTGTAGTTTACTCTTCTTGCACACAGAGCTGGCTGTTCGAAACACGTTTCTTACAAGCGCCCTCTTTGTGTGTGTAGGAAGGATGGTAGGAGAGGAAATGAAGAAGAATGGTTTTGTTGCCTGGTTTTCGGCACCATTTTGTCATGTAACCGTTATCCGATAAGTTGATTTGAACGTTAAGAAATGGAAGCTAACTTAGTTTTGGTTTCTCCAGAGTGAACATGATGTACTCAGACTGCTCATTCAACAATTCAAAGCATTTGTCCATCTTCTCCTGAGCAGAGAAAATGACAAAACAGTCATCTATATATCTTTAGTAGTGCACCGTCCGTAAGTCAATAACGGCGGATTCTATTTTAGACATAAACGCAATGGCGAGACTTGGTGCCAGTCGCTGTCCCATTGCCAGACCTCTCATTTGCGCGTAGTACTTCCCAGACCATCTGAAAATCGAGCAGTTCAGGCACTCTTTTATTGAACTATAAGCTGCTGAATAGACAAGCCATGCTTATTTATTCCTCCTTCATGTTTAACAAAAAGTTTAAGGATGGGTTGCACTGCGGAGTCGTTCGATACGTTGTACAGCATGGTAACGTCAAAGGACTCCATCACTTACGCGTTATGTAGGCGTTCTAGGAACATTTGGGTGTTCATGAGGTAAGATGGAATATGTTTAAGCAACTGGGTAAGTATTAGGCTTAGAAACCATGCTATTCTATCCACTGGCCCGTCTACACAGCTGATAATTGGTCTAACCATATAGAATGATGGATTGATAGACGCAAGATCATCAGCTGATACTAACTTATCTGTTTTAATAAGTAAGTATAAAAGGAGACAAGTTGGTCCGTCTATTTTACACTGCAAAATAACGGATGACTTTATGCCTGCCGGCTTTGCTACTTTGACCCACTGACAGTTTAGTTTTCGGTATTGACTTTGTATTCCTTTTGAGATGATGGGCGATAAAACGGTAACACCAGCAAGCTGTTCCTCCGTTACCTCAACATCTGATTGGAAAGGAATAACTACGAACTTTCCCACCTTATCGGTAACTGATAGCTTAATGGTTTTTGAATTTATTAATTCTCCAATTTCTCGCAGATTTTCATCTTTCTTTATGTGTTACTGGAGCGTTTGACATAGTAAATTGCCTATCACTATACCCTTCCAGGCTCTGAAGAAGGAGATACTGCTGACACGTAAGCTTTAACGGAATAAATAATAAAGTAACGTCTCGTGTTTGCTCAACAAGAACATCGGAAATTAGTTGATCAATGCCGAGGTTAATAGAAAGTCGGTTGTGGGAATTACAATGTGTTTAGTTGAATAGAACACTGTAGTCGATCCATTTAGTGTCCCATAAACTTCCCTTAACTCCGTTAAGATTACTTTTGTTGCTTTAACATTTTATAAAAAAATAAAGATTCAATGGATCTAACTCATTACCACAATATCCTGATAACCCAACTTGTAAGCACTTGCGATCTTGGGCAAAGCAACATCGTCTGGTGAGGGTGATGCACGATTTATGAGACACTGCTACTGATGTTAAGTACGTGATACTCTGCTTAATGATCACAGAGCAAGGCCACCTGTGTTGGTGGTGTTGCTCT